ACCTTTGGCAGAGAAATGGCCCTTTCCCCCCCCCCAGAACAGTGTTCCCCAACCTGGGCAATTTTCCAATGGGGGGAGTGCACCTCACAGATCGCCCAAGCCAGCCATGCTGGCTGGGGCATTCTGGGAGTTGCAGTCCACACATGGTAAAGTGGCCAAGGTTGGGAAACACTGTTCTGGAGGGGGGTAAAGGCACATTCTTCTGCAAAAGCTCTTTTCCCCTTAACTCCAGCACTGCTGGTAGCCTCAAATTGAGGGACCCCCATCTAGCAGACTTTGGAGGCCACAGCAAAATCAGCCCAACCTGCTACACCTCTGTGCACAAGTAAACCCCCATCTGCCATTTTACACATGTGCAAAGCACATCAAATGTACACGCTTAAAATTCCATTCTGCTTTCATGGGTGTCTGGATACCCCGTCTCCCTTATTAGTGTACTCACTCAGGGAGGGGGGCGTTGCAGAGGAGAACTTCTCCATGGGCAAAAGATGAAAAGCTGCCCCCCCCCCGGTTGCCTTCACTCTTTCACAATTAATCAGCCTGGAACACAACTGCCCTCCCCAGCACCACACTCCGGGGGGACTACGGCCTGTTGTTCACTCTCAGCCCAGCCTACCACACAGGGTTGTCGTTCTGGGCCAAAACGGGAGGCGGGAACACTGTGTGTGCCACTTTGGGTTCTTAGAGGAAAGGTGGGAGAGAAACCTAATAAAGAAATGAGAGGCTCACCCTGGCACTGGGGGCAACATTGCCCGGGCACTTCCTCTGGATTGGAACAGTCCAGCTCTGGGCAAGGGATCTGGGAGCAGACACGTTTCCCATCCTGGGGAGAGAGAGAGAAGGGACTGAGCAGGCTCAAGGAACAGTTTAATGGGGGGCTGGTCTTATTTGGGGAGCGCAACCAGAAATCCCTCACCAAACCCTTTCTTCTATGCGTCCTTTTAAAGTGGCTTCTCTTGACTTGATTCATCTGAATACTGGACTAATGATTTTCCGGTGTTCCACACATAAAAAGCAGGTGGAGCTTTGATCTCCATCTTGACTTTTCTGACCATACTGCACAGGCACCCGAGTCTGGGAAAACTAACCACAAATCAAAACTAGCAAGCGTCACATAGGGCGTGACTGCAGCTTTAACTGATCTGATGCAGCCTGATCAGGCAGGCAGAACCAAGGTAGCCCCCGGGGCCCGGGGCCCGTGAAAATAAATATTTTAAAGCAGAAAGCACTAACAGGAAGCAGGAGTTGTTTATGTTCAGGCCTTTGGATGAATATTGATTTATTTTCAAACCTTTAATAAAAAACAGGCAAGGAGCAGACAAATCTGAACGCCCAACCCAGGATCTTACTGGCACCCTAGGGGCGCAGCGTGAAGACTAAAATTTAATAATTAGGACGAGATGCAACAGACAACGTCGTTAATCGGCAGCAACAACTGATTATGATGACAAAATAATGCACAGAATACCTTATTTACTCTTCCCTATTTCTTTGTAGGGCCATGAAAGTCATATTGTGGCTCTGAAGGCCCTCAATTCCTCTGGAGAAGGCAGTGTGGTAGAGCAGGTAGAGCAACAGATTCAGGGCCCACTCAGCCGGAGGATCCCCCCCCAAATCCCTCGGGCATGGTCCTCACAAAACTCACTTCCCTCCCCTACTGTGGGGAAGGAGCTGCCACAGAAAACGGCGGGGGGGGGTCCCCCTGGACAGAGCCCCCCCCCCCCAGGCACCTGGCAAAGCATGCCACGCCTGCTCCCTTCCCAACCACAAGAGCTGCCAGGGTCGGAGCTCTGCACCTGAAGCAAGCTTCCCTGCTGGCAGCGTGCCTTGGGTTCCATCTCCCATCATCCCCAGCCAGTATGGCTACCAGGTGTGTAGCCCAAACCTGGAGGGCAGACTGAAAGCATCCATGGGTCATGCGAAATCAGCAGTTTAGCAACCGAGGGAGGCGCCTCTGCTCCATCTATCTCTGGGCCTGGCAGGACAGACTGGCAGCCAATCTTTTCCCAGGGAGAAGTTTTCCAGCCCCTCCTGGAAATGCTGGGGGGGGGGCGGGGGGGACACAGACCCTGGAACCCTCTGCATGCACCACGCCCTGCGGCTGCCCCCTCTTCTGCTGCAGAGTTGCGCAGCGTTTCAGCCCAGTCCCCCATCACTCACCAAACAGGAGCAGCGTTGGCATCCGTCGGCCGAGGTGACCTGCTGCCCAGGTTCCAGGGGATGCCCATCCAGCTCGCACGCTGAGGAGACAAGATCAGAGCGCAAAAGGCCAACTTGGAGATAAAGGGTAGGTGTGTGCGCACGCGCATGTGTGTGTTACCTGCAAAAATCTGGATGAGGTTAGGTGGCTGAGAAGGACTACAGAAAACTCTCTGCTGTCCCCTGATGGCAGCTGAGATTTTGCACCTGGGATCTGGTACCAGAGGGGAGGCAGGTGGGCTGACCTGTGCTGCTCCAAGGGGCAAATGTGGGGCCAAGGATGCTGCCCTATGCTAGCCCACAGGATGAGCCATTCCTATCCTCCCCTTCTCTCTGCTCTGAGAGGACTTGCACGGGAAGACCTGAAAGACCAGGCTGGGGACAGATGGTCGTGGAGAACATCTGTCTATCTGGTCACTAAGAGTCGACACTGACTTGATGGCACATCGTCCATCCATCCAT